AGTATCTGATTGCAGGTAAAGTCTCCCATAGGCTTTCTTTATGCTATCGATATCAAAGATTTGCCGACTAAGATAATTGGAAGTCCTAACCAGAAGGGAGACTTTTGTGAAAGCTGCGTTTTGCTCCTACGGCTGATTAGCTATACGTGTATCATAGTCATCTTTTATGGCTTGCGACAGACACAGACTTTGGTTATTTCACCGTTCTGTTTTAGCCTCCATAGCATGCCAAAAACTGGGGGGGGGGTCTTCAGGGTCTTTGCGAGCTTTTATGTGCTATTTTCTGATTGCATATAGACAACATATCCGGTTGAATTTCCCCCGTTTTTTTAGAACTGGGCTAATCAAAAAACAGCCGAAGACCACCAAACCCCCAGTTCTATAAGCCTGCTACGGAGGCTAGTTCTGTTTTCACATTGATGACCGCTTGCTTCCTGGGCCAACCGTACTGTGACAGTAAGGCCATGTTCATTTCATTATAGAAGAACTTCTAAACATCTTTATATTTGCTTCCAGGTCCAACCGAGGATAACTCTAAGAATGTGGACGCTGTGGCTATTCCCGCTGTTTCTGGCAGCTCAAGCTCTGGCAGACGTGGGCGATCTGCAGAACGCCGGCGGCCCGGACGGCGTCGGCCTGCCCCGGTCTCAGGGCATCCCGCTGCACGTCTTAGACCACCTCGGTGCCAGCTACGTCGACGACGCCGGATCTCCTGGCGTCGAGACCACCGCCGACGTCGTCAAGCGGGCGCCGGGAAAGCTGAGTCGGTTCGACATAGGGGAGGGGTACAGCCGGTACGGGCGGGGGTACCTCCAGCAGCTGATGAGCAGCCTAGAGTCGGGGTACAACCGCTCCAACCGCAAGGGTCTGACACGACACAACCTGGACCTCGGCTACAGCCGCTACGGCCGGTCCACGGACCAGCAGCCCTCTCGACAACAGCTCAGCCGGGACACCCGGGCGACCAAGCCGCTCAACCGCTTCGATCTGGGGCTGGGCTACAGTCGCTACGGCCGCGGACCAAGCAAGGCTCTCAACCGCTTGGACCTGGGCCTAGGATACAGTCGCTACGGGCGGGCACCCAAGCCTCTCAACCGCTTCGACTTGGGGCTAGGATACAACCGCTACGGCCGGGGACCAACCAAGGCCCTCAGCCGCTTCGACTTGGGGCTGGGATACAATAGGTACGGACGGGGGGACGAGGCGGCGACAGCTTCACCCGACCAGGCCGCCGCCAGCGACGGGAGCACGGGAGGCGACTGGCAGGCACAGAGGTGGCAGGACCAGCCCGGCTACGACGAGCCGAGCCCAGCGGGCGGGGACAACGCGTCGACGGGACTCACGCCTTACGGCAAAGACGACGATGCGGTAAGAACGTTTTCTGTAGCCTCTACCAGGCTCCGCGAAGCGGCTGGATCATGGAAAGAGTAGAAATAGGCCAGTTATAATAATAAGAAAGATAGCATGTCAAGGGAGTTGGTGCTGCTGGAGAGAACATTTTGCCGCTTCAGTAAATGTTATTTAAAGCAGCACCAACTCCCCTGGCATGCTATCTCTCTAATTGGCCGATTTCTACTCTTTCCAGTCGCCTCCCGAAGCCTGGTAGGCTACGTTTTCTGAACATCACAGTCCTACGACTATTAGATATATTATGTTCGTACATCTACAACTGCCTCAAGAAGCGAGAAGAAGTTGAACCTGTAAATAGTAGATCACATTTAGCATGTATAGTTTAAGTGTTATTGCTGTATTGTTTTTCCCTGTTTAGTTGTCATGACCTGCACTTAGCTTGTAAGAGCATAAAGGTACATTAAAGGTCTTTCGTTCATTTCTTCATTCATCAAAGGGCCAGGTGATATAGGTTTTACGATCGTTATGCGATCGCGAACTGAGGGAATTATTGCCTGCAAAAGTAACCTGTCTTTTTATGGACAATGCCGTTTTTAGATCCTTGTCGGTGGTTGGTTCTATCACAGTCTGGTTCAAAATCGTACTTACGACGAATGAGACCACGTCGTCACTCGGTTACTCTCCATGATACACGGTAACACGGAATTCAAAATTTCAACTTTAAACATGACTCAGCTCTGTTATCAAAACTATTCTCGTGTGTGCAAGTTTACATCAGGGGATAAAGACGTGGCCCGCTTTATTTCTCTATAGAGGCCGCAAAAGTCACCAAAGCGCCCAACAATTCCCGTTGAATACGACATGTTAAGTGCCGAATTCCGGAGGGGCGCGTAGGACGGTCGACCTGTCAACTTCTTTTAATACCTACCAGCCTACCTTTGTGGGTTCTGTAACTAAAGGGATCCATTTGAAGGGCACAGAGTTTTCTACTAAGTGGGTTCACCGCGGTGGAATTAATCCCAGAACGACCTTAATCCCGTGGTCGTGGCATCAATCATTAACGATCCTAAATATACATTGTACCTGCTTGGGGACACTTTTGGTGGTTACGAGTAATTCCACAAAGCCACAATGTTGTCGAGTCAACGCCTATCCCTTTTATTGGGAAACTAATCCTCTAAGGTCTAGCAAAAATGTTAAGTTCGTTTGAACTAATTCCACAACGCCGCAAAGTCACCAAGTCAAAGTATATTCCTTTTATTGGTAAAAGTAAATCCTCTAGAATGTGGCCTAGGAGTTAATCAACTTTTGATCCAACACAAAAAGTTCTCTCACCAAGAGCTCTCGACCAGTCACTCACTCTGGTCTTCCTCAGTAGACTGACCCAGTGAGGCTTGTCACGTGGCTTCTTTGAAGCGTTACGTCAACACTGGGTCAAAGGTAGACATCTGGTAGAAAATGTCGGCCCCCGTCTCGGTCGAGTGAAGGGCCCTGATGTAAATAGCCTCCTTCACCCTTCTCAGGAAATAGTCTTATAGATATTAGTCCAATATGGAGTTGAGTCGGGCTCAGCATTCCAACATGTCTAGCCATTGATCCGGAAATGTGAGAGTGTATGTGGCGAGGCTAGAATTGATTTTTGGATTGTGTATGACAGCACAAAAAGAATACTTGACAAAAATCTGCAAGACATTTGATTGGATTTCTATCGTCCATCACAAAGGATATGTATCCAGTTAACTTGTCTTTTGTCTGTCTGTTTCCTTTCGTATAAAATCAGCCGATATTCAATGACCTAGGCACGATATGAATATGATGCCCATTGTAACGCCACTATCAGCAATACGACAGAGTGGGGATGAGTAAAGAGACTCTTTTTACACAAGCAAGTCTTTTATTCAGCCGACGTTTCAGTGACCGTCTGTCACCTTCCTTGGGGCAATTCTGACTGGTTCACATTGCACTGCAGCACAGGTGTCGCTGCTACAGTGTCTTGAAGGAGACCTTGAAATTAACATCAGTGGTGTGGTGTGGTGTGGTTGTAGTATGTGTAATTATTGTGGTCTATGTAGTCTTTCTAATGATACTGTATTTTAACTTCCTAATGACTCTGAATTTTAACTTAATTATGTGCAATACTATAAACTCTTGATTTTAGAATAATGAAAATTTTAATGTACATTGATTCGCAATTCAGTAACTTGTATTAAGTTTACTGCCATTGATCAATAAATAATTCTTGAGTCTTGAGTCTTACCAACCTGATGAAACTATCCCCACGGATAGTGGGGATATTAGTGAAAGGGACTGGTTGGAAGTACTTCATCTTACACGATTAATTAGAAAGATATCTGGCGATATATACTAGTACGCACAGACTTTCCAAATATAAGCTCATAATTCTCTCTTTTCTCTTCACAGCTGCCCGCTCGACCAATCAGCCCACGGCATATTCGTGACGTCATGACGCCCTTCAGGAGCTGGCTACCGGCGCATGCGCGGTCGTTGGACGAGGCTACAGAGTCATGATGGCGCCCAGAAGATAAGATGGCGTCTCAAGAAGAGAAAGAACTTGAGACAAATTTGAGGACGCTAGAATTTTCCTAGACAACCAAACGTGCCCATCTTGCATGTTTAGGACACTTATAGTAGTTATATAGTAGTTATATAAATTAAAGTGCAGGAAGCGTTGATAAGCGCCAACATTGGTGATATGCTGCCACTGGGTAGATAAATAAATTAATGGAATGAATGAATCAAAGTTGGCATTAAATAAGAACGCATTTGCCCTCTAAATTGAAGACAAACTACAGGAATAGAAAAATAATTTTTTTCCTGGTGATGAGCTGTGTTGAAGGCAGTGACATCACTTTACCAGATGTTTTAATATATGATGCTTTCTGTATTGTATTTCATGATATGCTGCGGAAATACAAGATCAGACGGACCAATTCAGAGGCTCTTTTTATATGTGTTTCTTTGTGCGTTTGTGTGTGTGTGTGTGTGTGTGTGTGTGTGTGTGTGTGTGTGTGTGTGTGTATGTGTGTGTGTGTGTGTGTGTGTGTGTGTTTTCATATGTGTGCGTGCGTGCGTGCATGTGTGTGCATGAGTGCGTGCGTTCAAGCGCTCGTGTGTGTGTTTGTGCGCGCACACATATTATATTCTCAAAATTGGTTTACGACCGGCCCATATAACCAGCAGACCCACTTGCCATAGAAATAAGCAACTTTGCTACTAAAAACACTTCGTCTTTATTGACATATGTGCCAAAAACACATACTTCATCATCATAAACCCTCATGACATCCATGAAAAGCGGCCTGCAGGTTGGTCAGAGCTTCTCATGAATAACGTATGGTTCAAACTAATCATGTCAACTACCAGATGATTGCCAAAAACAGTTACTCAAGCAACTGGATATGATTTTGAAAATGTCAGACGTTTCAGCTAGTATCCACTAGTAATACAGGAGCTTTCAGACTAATTTGCATCATCTTGTCTTGACTTGTCTGACTTTTGTTCCTTTTTCGACTTCCAAAAAATTTGTCTTCACTTTATTTGCATATCAATCAACAGGTTGTGTATATAAACCTGCTTTCCCCTCTGGTCTCTCAGTCACTGACGAAAGCTAGTGGATACTAGCTGAAACGTCTGACGTTTTCAAAATCATATCCAGTTGCTTGAGTAACTGTTTTTTGGCATATCGTATTACCTGGATGTCTAACCTTCATCGACGTACCAGATGATTGCCTTTATTGAGTAATAGCAGGGTCGTCGATTGACTGAAACATTTGAATGGTCCGGATATGTTGTAAACGTCTTAAGTGTAAGGAAAGACGCGGATAGTGCTCTATTGTCCCGTATAAAAAATCGTACACAGCAAATATATGGGAACTTGCCTCCTCACCTCACCTCACCGGTCCCATAGCAGTCTGTCCTGCCGTCGGGGCAACTAAACTGTCAACAAGACTGGGAACGTGCACCATACTTTAAATTCCAACAATCTCAACACATATCAAAAGACCGTGACCAGCACCAAAAGCTGACAGTAAACACAATTGACGGCATTTAACTGTACAGGACACCGAACAATGCTGGCGAAACATGGAGGTAAGTTTTCTGGATAAGACAGATGACAGAACCTTTGCGGGGACGTACGGTTGTTGGGTTGAATCGAGGATAAAATACCTGCAGTGAGCCAGTATCATTTTCTGTGTGCAGTCGGGGTCATCTTTAGACGCTGCTTTGTACAGCATCATGCCCATTTCTCTGGCTGTTACCCGCTGTTACACATGTCCAACAAAATCGGTTTCTCGGAGATTCTTGTATTAGAAGAGAGTTCCACGCCGGGCTGCTTATATCAACGTAAGGCCACAGCAAGTAATTTTTATGGATGGCATCAGCGCGCGCATTAATATTCGCCTGATTTTAGAGAGAAAAAAATTTTGTTGTCTTCTGACAGTGGTCAACATGCCAAAAATGGGCAAAGATGTCTGTTGCCATGCCGGAAGGTGGATGGCACATAACTATGAAGGGAGGAGACAAGTAAAAGTGTCTGATTTAATGTTTTGTTCCTTACTTTGATTCAGTGACATGTGATGTTGGCTGTGTATATGTGATGTCCCTACTGAATCAAAACCATTTGTACAATGATTAAGTCAAAATGTTAAAATGCAGGAACCTTGTTTTTTCGGCCCGCCTTGTTTTTTTCGCCCCCTCGCATTAGAGTTGGAGTCTGCGGGGGATGTCATCCATAAAATTTACTACCTGTGGCCTTATATTAACGTAAGTAACCATGTAATAAGAACCTCCCCCAAGCTTAGCCCCTGCCGCATACGTCGTACAGCGCCCCTGCGATGCAAGGATGTTCCGCTATGATCGTGATGTGAGTTGCAGATTTGAGAGAAAAAAAGCGGGTTCAACAGTTTCAACATCAAACTATTGCACCCGTACTTCTAAAAGCCTACGACCGACGGTACGTACGATCGTCGCCGAAAAAGCTAAGAATCACCCTAGCGTTCGTAGTGCAGTCGTTAGCGGCCTTGCTTCTGAATCAAGAAGTTGGGAGTTCGAATCCCACCTGTTGTCGCTCACCCGAAATGCACGCTACTTGATAGGGTCGAGGTCCTCAGAATGTTAAGGACTCCTGTGACCTGTCGCAGTTCTGTTGTCCATTGTTCATTGTGCTTTTCGAAAAGAGCTAGGGGAAAATTTTACCGGAACAATGAACCTGTAAATACTGTATATACATGTAGTGTCTGTCAGCGGAAGATCAGCTCTTCAGTGATCTAAAACTAAATCGAGATCACCTTACTTTTCTTTCCTAGTTGTATCGTGCTATTCATGTGACCGTGTATTCACCGGTACCTGAATAAAGTGTGGCAAACGGTTCTGTTCCGCTTTGTATAATCTTTTAGAGTCGGGAGAAAAATCACGAGGATGAATGCAACATTGGTTACGGTCTGTAAAAGATGGCGTATAAAACTTACAGGCTTTAGAAGATCACGCTGTTTTTAAGGGCCTATAAAGATAAGCCGGACGCCTTTGCACGGTAGGTTTTGCATTTCAGTCAGATTTGACAGAAACTCGAATGAAAATGAAGTAAGCATTTTATGACCCAGTAGTTAACGTAAGGACTTCAGGACAACGAGGAAAACAATATAAGTTCTAGACAAAAACAATGAGGTCGATCAAATCTCTCTTGCAGGCAAAGACTAAGGAAGGTACACTTCTCCCACTTCTTCATAGCTGCTATATGACAAACGTTTTCTCGATCTGCTGTGTTCCTAATAGTTTAGTGAGGCAGCATCTAACTCCAGAAGAGAATGTATCATCACTGGATATATAGCTTTGAACAGTAGTTAAATGTGCAGATGTTAGGTATGGCAGGTAGCTAGGTGTAATATAGCAAGCTGCCGCCGAGCCGCGTGCCTGCAAAGCTGGTGTGTTAGGCCGAAGGGCGGTTATATCGGCTATTCCGATACAGAATACTTGTCAATAGAACAGATGGCATAGAAACCTTACGAGAAGAAAAAGCTTCAGATCCTACATCATAGGAGGGGGCCTCGGTCCCGTATATAAGCTTCAAACCTTCATCCTCTGCATGTTAAAGAATCCAACACACTTGTCTGTAAGAATAAGAACTCGTCTGGTATTCCTGATTGAAAATGCGAGGAGTGGCGAAGCCAAAGTGCACTACAGTGCAGCCATTGAAAAAATCACTACGACCCGCATCATCCAAGAGGGCGCTGGCTGCCAAAAGTCAGGACATGCACTGTTTCGAAATGCCGCATGAGGGAGGACTCCTAAAACAAGGGGCGACATTTGACTTTAGTACAGTAACTAATTGTATGCAATAGTTTCCACGTCGTTTTAATGATTTATTGGAAATGCCATGTCGTGGGGTAGCGGCAGAGTGCTGGACTCGGAATTTAACCAAGGGGTTGCGGGTTCGAGTCCTGACATGTCACCGATCTTGTGCCCTTGGGAAAGACACTTAACACGACTTTCCTCACTTAACTCAAGTGAAAATGAGTATTGTCCTGTCCTGTCCTGTATTTGTACTCTGTGTTGGTGGCGGGCTGGCGGCATACAATAAGTTAATAGTGGAGTGTGCCGTCGCCATGTTTGGTCATGAAATGTTGGAATATGAAAAAGGCCATGTCTCTGTCGTAACCCACCTCGGTCATTAGTCTCTAGTGTTAAATAATGGTGACGGTATCAAACTTCTCTCCTTTCGTGCCTTCAGGCCAAAGGTCTTTGAATCTTGATACCAGTGAAGGCAGCGCAGTTCAATAGAACATGAATGACGCTGGAGTAGGACCATGTCCTGTAGGCCTGCAGCGTTCACAGAGTCTGACGTAGACAGGCCACATCAGAAGTATCATGTTCAGTTTCTGATTCATAACTTTTTCATGTCTAATTGTATATAATGTACTGTACGTAATGTAATTTGTGATTTTGTGTTGGTGTTGTATTGTATTGTATTGTCTGGGAGGGCAACTTGCAAAGGTGTTTATACACCTGCCTTGTCCTCCATTCCACTGAATCCAAATACAGGCTTATTAAACGTTCATTAACTACTCTAATTCACTGCTTAGCTTCTGCTCTCAGTCTTTCTTGGTACAAATGAAAGGACAACATCTTATAGGAAACGGAGAGGAAGTTGATGAAGACATCAATGCAATTAAGAGGCCAGTAATGAGAGCTGTAGGGTGAGGATGTTTTCTCCTTGTTTCTCGCTCCAGGCCATAGTTACTGTGCAGCCTGTGACGCGTGCTTCATAGGAACATGCGTCAGAATGGATCCATTCATTTTCAGTAATTAACTTACGTGGGATAAGTCAATTTGGTGAGCTAGAAGGTGAAAATTTGGATAAAAGTTCAAGCGCTTCTTTCCAACCTTTTACCTACCATATTTACGACAACAGACACTTTATGTAACAGTGCGGTCATCACACTCGTCGAGTTTGGTGTCATAGATAGAATTTCAAAGCAGGCTGTGACAGAACCAACCGCCAACAAGGATCTAAGACAGCATCCTTCGTAACAACACATCTGTTAGCGCTACAGTAGCCAGCATAGTCCATTGGTTAGTGATCCTGCCTATGGACTAAGAGCTTGGGAGTTCGAAT